TGTAATAGTAAGAATGTAATAGTAATAATGTAATAGTAATAATGTAATAGTAAGAATGTAATAGTAATAATGTGTAAAGTGCATGCTCCATGTACAGTGCCTAGTGATCCCTCACTAGGTCGTTTTGTGCCACTGCAGAGCGACCGCTTTCTTTTGGCTCAAGACGCAATAGGTTCGACCGACGCGACAAAAAGGGCTTGGGACCGAGAGGGTCTTTGGGAAGCCCCTTTTGGCTTCGCAGTTGGGGGCTGTTCTGGGAACTTCACTTTAAGGGTGAACCCAGGAGGTCGAGGCGGACGGCTCACCTGTGAAGGGTGAGGCTAGAAGCTCACCTCGAAGCGGTCGAGGCCCAGTGCTCACCGCCAGATGGCACGAGAAGTGAGAGGTTCAGCAAAGCCTCTTCTACAAGCCATTGCGGATGGGGACGTACCACGCCCAGGGCTGATAGGGTACCATGACTGGAACTCTTGGCGCGCCAAAGAGGGGCAGCGGCCAAGCAAGGTTCGGCATGGTGATCCAGCAACAACGACGACGACAGAAGAAGCGCAACTGTGGCGAGACATCATGGAAGCCCTTTACGGGGCCGATTGGAAGGATCGGCTGGCCCGCGGGGATGGGGCTCCCGATGACGAGGAAGAAGAAGATGAGCCACAGGAAGAAGAAGAAGGCGAAGAACTTCTAAGCGCTGCAGGACCAGGCCCGGAGCCGGCTGGTCCCAGCCATGGGGGCGATGGAGGTAGTGGACGAGCGGCTCTGGCAGCGCCGTCCGGAGCTTCTTCGACCGTTGGTGAGGAGTCAGTTTTCCTGGATCCATCAGTCGAGAAGCTAAAGGAGGTCTTCAAACGACCGTACGAGCCTGAGAAAGAAAGTCCACAGAAGTTCGCAAAGCGGTTGTACCGCTTAGCCGAGGCCTTGGACCTGGAAGGAGAGGCTGTGGACGAAAAGGAAATGGAGCGTAGGGCTGCCCAAGCACTGTTTGAGAAACAGGTGCACGGCAAGCCAGAGGAGGAGCAACTCGTGCTCTTGAAAGGGTCTTTCCGTGAGTTGGTACTGGAAGATCCGCCAGAGGGCCAAGAAGAGGAGTACCGGCAGCGGCTGGACGTGCTTATGGCCATGATCCAAGCGCGCGGTGGACGTTTGAGTAAGACAGCAGAGAAGTTGTTCTCGTCGACCGAAGGGACTCCGGAGAAGGCTCCAGCGGCTCTGCGCGGAGGACCTGACGGTTCAGCGAAGGACAGTAAGGAAGTCGGAGCTAGAGGCCATGGGAAACGGAAGCCGTCGGATCAAGGGCTTGCCGAAGGAGGCTCAGCAGCGGTGGCTGAGCTGAGACGGCGAGTTGCGGAACTTGAGGAGGATGCGCGTTCCGACGGAAGCCGTCCTGTAGACGCAGTGGCCACCTTTGCTGAAGCCTTGGAACGCCAGACCCAGATCATGGCTGAGGTGCTGGGCAAGAAGAGCAAACGTTCTACGATCCAAGTGAGTCCAAAGGTATCGTGGCCCATGTTGGATGACGACTGTAGTGATTACAGGTCGGTCCAAGAGTTTTACGACACTTTTGAGGCGACGATCGGGCTTGCTAACGACGGAGAAGGAATGACAGATATGGAAAAGTTGACCACTCTGAAAGCGTGCCTCAAGCAGCACAGGTTGAAGACCTACGAGTTGGTCTACCGAAGGCATCTCACCTCGGGGCTTGTGAGAGACAACCCAGGTGAGGTGTACCGCCAGATCCGTGACAAGCACCTGCTGTTTTCAGAGACAGCGGAGGAAAAGGAAATCAGGATTCTGGAAGAAGGTGACGGCTTGGAGAAAGGGAAGCTTTCAGCCTTCCAGTGGGAGGTGAGATGGGAGTCTCATCTGGCCGATCGGGACAGCATTGGATTGGGACTTAGCTCCAAGGAAGCTCTGATCCAATACTTGAGGAAGATCGGCCCAACCATGTCTAAGGACGTTCGGCGGGATAAGAGATTTCGGCCGGATGGAAGTGGAGGCACTGTCTTCAGGAGTGTCGCTACTTGGGAAGAAGCGCATGAAGTAGTGAAAGAGTTGGAAGAGACAGCGGCGGGACAGCGCGCTCTGAACAACTCGACCTTTGCCCACGGGAGCGGAAGGGATAGGCCAACCAAGACGAAGAAGGCGGATAAGATCCATGCCCAGGACGACGTCTCAGGGGAACGGCTTGAGAAAGAATTGAAGAAGGTGTGCTTCGACATGCGGGATAGAGGCACATGTTCCCGAGGGAAAGAGTGCAAGTATGTTCACGACCGTGCCGTGATCGAGGAGGCCAGAAAACGTGTGTCGCGGGACAAAAAGTCCGCACAGCAAGACAAGAACAAAGTGGCAAAGGCGGACGACCTGGCTAAGTACGACGGACGGAAAGGGTCCGGGAAAGACAATGGCAAAGGCAAGGGCAAAGGGTCCAAAGGGAAAGGATCGAGCGACAGCCCAAGAAAGCCTTGCCGCTTCTTCAACTCAGTAGGAGGATGCCATAAAGGATCGCGGTGCCAGTTCTCCCACGACGGGCCCGGAGGGTCCAAGCAAGGGAGCGGGAGCGGTCCTGGGCTACAGCTGGCGAACATGTCCGACCTCACTGGCGTCAAGCAGGAGGGGGGAATGATGAAGGATAACCCCTTTGTCGGCTGTTTCGATACCGCGGTGGTCAGCGGAGCGCCTGCCTTCGAAAAGGAGACAGTGCTCGCGACCAAACCTGTTGAAGCCAAGGGCAAACAGAAAGGAGGACAAAAGCCGCTCTATGAGTTGCAAAAGTGGGGTGACTTGAAGTCTCTGGATCAGATGCCTA